TCCTGGATGGACTCGAACCATCAATCTTCCGGTTAGAGGCCGGTTGCGTTAGCCATTGCGCCACAAGAGCACGAGTATGTATCATATTGTGAACACCCTCATTCTCACGGACACAAAACTGATAAGGATTTACGTAACATATAAACTGTCAACATCCATTCATGGATATGTTCGAGTAAATAAATACTAGTGAAGAAGAAAAAGTTTCGGATCGTGTATTCCAGTTCGTAATCGTTCGATTAGTGTTATTCTCATAATAAATATTTATATTATCACAATTGATAACACTGATCGTCGCGTTTGATTTCAAGTACGCTTGGATATTTTCACCGTTGGAAATTGTTAAACATGCGTTCGACTCCAAATAAGCTGTGATATCTCTGCCATTGGAAATTTCAACATTCCCATCGGTTTGAACAAAGACGAAGATATTGTCCGCATTGCTGATGGCCAATTTAGCATTTGACTCGAGATAAGCTGTGACATTTTTGCCATTCGGAATGTTGAGAGTTACACTCTTTTTAATATACAATCCATTCGTATTACCCTTATTATTCGTGGATCCACTAGCGTTGACGCAACTCCACGTTTGTCCTGACAGAGGGACAACTGCATTGTATGATAAGTTTGCTGTCGCTGTTGGCCGTGTCGAAGTTCTTGATATCGTAGACATGATTGATGATGAGTTCGTCTCTTTACAAAAAAAAACTCGAATAGATCATACTTTTTTTACAAGAATGATGACTTGCTCATTAATTCGTTGGTAGTATCAGAAGCAAAAGCTGCTGTTGACGCTCTGTCAATGATGGGTAAAAGCAGAAAGTAAAGTGAGCCGGCTGAATTATTCATTAACGATAAAGACTCAAAAATTAAAGGTTGTGAAAAAATTTCACATGTGTCATTATTAGGAAAGCAATTAGTAGCAAAGATTTTTGTTCTATTAAAGAGCATGTCACACAAACATGCGTGACAAGTGCCATTCACTTTAGTAGAGCTGTAGTTGGTCACTTGTAGAGAGACATTATAAATCACTGGAAAAGAATTTATACCGTTCGACACTCGTACGATTAAATGTAGAAGAGCAAGATAGAAGAAATCGCGTCGCATATCCGATAGATAAAAATTCAAAATGAGGTGAAGAAATAAAACTCTCGTTTCCTTCTTAGAAGTTATCGGCGAGAACAAAGTCTTCGGGAATAAAAGGAATTCTTTACAGAATGGCGTGATTCGGCCGATGTTTGTCTAAATTGTCCGGACGCGATTTTTCATTTATAATTTCTAATCAATCAACGAACGGAAAAAATAATAAATGGTATATGTCTATATGTCAAAGTGTCGTTTGATGATCATCGATCTTTTTTATGTTTTCAGTATGATTTCACTGCTTTTCAGTAAGACGATCAATATTACACTTAACTCTAAGTGCCACCGGATGATTGTGTGGTAGAAACTTGTCAAATATGGACAATGCTTGTAGATAATAGCCCAATGCTGTGTCGCTTTGATTTTGTTCTTCACAACATTCAGCTAGTTGAACGAAACTGTAGCCTATGTCACTATGTCCATCAGGATATGATACTTGTCGCATTACTAATGCTTGTCGGTGATATTGTAAAGCTTCGCCGACTCTCCCTTGATGATAGAGAACTGATCCAATCGCATCCAAACTGGCAGCAATGTAAGGATGATCTGGCGGGAGCAATCTCTTGCGCATAGTTAGTGCCTGATGGTGGCAACTTAAACTTTCATCGTACTTCCGTTGCGCATCGTAAATATGACCAATCGTGTGTATACTTTTAGCGGTATCAATGTGACCATTTGGATAGAATTGCTCACGAATTTTCAGTGCTCGTTGACAATTGTCTAATGCCTGATCGTATTTCTGTTGATGATACAAAGTATGCCCGATATTGTTCAAACTTGCAGCTATATCAACGTGATCATCGGGATAGAATGCTTGTCGAACCTTTAGCGCCCGTTGATGATACTCTAAAGCTTGCTCGTACTTGCCTTGTTGGTCAAGAATCAGTGCAATGTAATTGAGACTTTGAGCGATATCAACGTGGCCATTTGGATAGATTTCTTCGCGAATTTGTAAGATTCTTTTATGTAGATCCAAAGCTTCATTAAACTTTCCCTGTCGATATAGAGAACCAGCGATGTTATTCATCACTACAGCCACATCCTTGACACGTGGCGGTATCGCCTCGATCATTCGATCATAAGCTCGATTATAATATGTGCGCGCCTGTTCCCACTGGCTTTTATAATCGAGAGCTTGTCCAATATTGAATTCAATCCATGCGAGATCTTCTCCATTTGGTTCTTTTAGTAGTTCTTCAAAATACTCTTGTGATTGATTGTATTGACCGAGGTTACACATCAGTTGACCGAGAACGATAGCAACACTTTTGCTCTCTACTTCCTGTTTCGTTAGATTCATGTAATCTTTTGTTATTCGTTCTCCTTCAGTTGACACATCCATACGAACAAAGTTTATTGAATCGTTTTCTTCAATCGAAATTAGTTGAAATGCTGCATTTAAATCAAATAGTACTTCTTCTTCCGCCGGATAAGTACTGAATCGAGCGATATCAGCATAGGTCACACTTTTCCCAATCTTTTCCACATGACATTCGATGTGAAAGAGAACACGAACGTCATTTGGACTTCTCGTGGCTTTCTTGATGAATTTCATTGCCCGTGTTCGCGATCGACTAGTCGATAAGTACCCATTCGTCGAGATAATCTTTCCTTGATTTGCTTGAAGTTTTTCCAGTTCTTTTCGATCCAAGTAAGTTCCTCGATAAAGATTCAGGATCTTTTCACTCGACAAGAAAAGTTGTTCTTGTTCCTTGACGAGACTGTTGGATAGATCACGAATGAAGAAACGAAACGTTTGCAGTTGGTTCAGATCTTCTGTTCGCAATGCTTTGTTAATCAACTTGAAAAGAAATGATTGTTTCGAATACCACTGAATTGCATTCGAACCGCAGAATTCATTTTCGAATCGCTCGATCATATTTAACTCTGCTCGATTCCCACGATAATAATTTCGACAAAACTCAAGCATTTGCTGTTTTGCCTGTTGATTGACTGGCAGAAGGACAATCAATTGATGAAAAAGTTGAAACCATAGAAATTCAGCAGATTGCTGAGATAAATCCTTCGTTGATCGTTCCCGATGATCGAACGCACTGAACGTCTGTAGTTGTTTATTGAAAAGATCGATTTGATGTCGAATAGACGAACACAGTTCATCGAGATTAACATAGATACCAATGATTTTGTCATATTCATCGGTTAAATGCATCCATTTATCTTTCATCATACAAAAGACAAAGATTAAATCGACTTGATCGAGATTGGCCACGCGAGACAGGATGTATGATGCTTTCGAACCTGATGTGATTAAAAAGATCTTTTCATGATTAATTGATCGTATATACTTGACGCATCGATCAACATCTGTGAAAAAGCTAACATAATCATTGATGGAGCGTAATTGTTGTTTGGTCAGTTCGGCATCTTCGACGGAGTCAATATTTGGATCAAACCAAATGAGTGTGATACTTTCTTTATTTTGATCGATTCGTACGGGAAGTGATGGTATCTTATTAGTTTTCTTCTCGATCTTTTTGTATATTTTTTGCATTAGTTTGTCCATGATCTTTAAATTTGATGTTGGCGGAATGTTTACTGCGTGATGTGTATTGAAAAAAGGTAAAGCGTACGCATTAAGAAAGACGAAGAGAATTCAATAAGTTTCTCGATGTCTTTTAACAATAACAAACGCGCTGTTTTCTCTCCACATGCTTTCAACGCCGATGAATTCATATTCTTCTGACTGATGAATTAATGCTAAACTTGAAACTCGATAAATACGTCTCTAAGCAATGAAGTGAATCCGTTCCATTTCTGCAATACAAATCATTTACTTGACAGGCGGTGGACACACAAGCTCATTTCATCGATTATTCTATTCAATATGAATTTCTTCTTTGAACAAAGCGAATATGGAGATTGTAATTTTGAATACTTGTATCGGATCTTACAGACGGAACAATATCATCGAATTTAAGTCGCCAGAAACGTAGACATCAACTCATCGATATGGCATCATTCTCATTTTGTCGATGATAAACAAGAATCCTATAATAGTCATTAAAAGAAGGTATCCGACACTCGTCATTTCTATTTGTCATGATTAAATGCGTGCGCGTTATCTCGGTTCCTCTGATATTGTCATAAACCAATAACATCGGAAGTGAAACTGCAACATCATCATCATATACTTCAGATTATAGTATGCTCTTTGGTATACTCTTCTGAAGTAACTAATAAATACAGTATCTGCTTTATCGTGTGAGTTTGTCATATTAAGATATATATGTGTATTACACTATCGACGAAGCGATTATATATTTGATTATCGTAAATTTTACGATACAAAAGTGGAAAGGGATCATAACGAAAGAGTATTTTGTGAAACGTTGATGGTCGCTTCAGACGCAACTTACTCTATTGAATATGGAACAGCAAAATCGTCCTCTACTGATTATACTAGGTGCTATTGCCCTCTTTGTTATTATCACATTTGCCCTAGCTGCCGCTGCGCTTGGCACCTTGAACAAACGATTCAATGACCTTGAGAAGAAGCTGGTTACGACAACCACACCAATAAGCACAACAACAAGTTCAACATCATCGGGATCACTCGCGAGCATTCTTGCCGAAACTGTTCGTATGGAAGATCTATTGATCCATCTTAAACAATTTGAAGGATTTGCACGTGAAAACGGTAATACACGTGCGATAGGAACAGCTGGATTCGCTCAAACGGTGAATTATATAGAAAATCAGCTGAAAACTAACAGTTACAATCAACTTCATGTTATCCGTGAAACATTTCCAATACAAAACTTTTCCATCAAAGGAGATCCAGTTTTAAGTTGGTCTTCGAATGGAAAGACTGAAAACTTCACCTATTCAACGAACCTATCTCGAACTGATTTCACATACGCGAATTATACAGCAGCGATAAAGCTAACCATCTACGAACTTGTCCAAGTTAAAAACTATGGTTGTAACAAGGATGATTACGCTAATACTACAGGTAAAGCTGTACTGATCATGGCTGGTGGGACATGCACGTTCGCAGAGAAGGGTGAACATGCAGCTAAGGAAAACGTAGCAGCGTTGCTCTTCTACAATCACGGTTCGACGACGTCAAGTCTAGCACCAGCAACGTTTCGTCTTCGTCAAGCTAATACCTTGCCTGCACTCTCTTTGTCGTATGCGGCTGGTCGATCCTTATTCAATTTACTTAATTCTAGCAATTCAGTTAATGTTACACTTGAGATTCAACGCGAAAACTATGGCACATTTAACGTTCACAATATCTGTGCACACACGGTCGATGGAAACAGCACAGAAACGATCATGGTCGGCAGTCATAGTGATAGTGTACCGGCTGGACCTGGTATCAATGATAATGGTAAGTGACTATACATAGATTTTGCTATGTACTATCTATCACTCACATTGTTAATTTGGTGTTACATATAGGTAGTGGATCAGCAGCTAACCTTGTTCTAGCGTTGAATTTAGCCCGTTTGTATTCATCTAAAAACTATCCAAAGTATCCATATCGAATTCGATTTTGCTGGTGGGGTGGAGAAGAAATTGGCTTGACTGGAGCAATTTACCACGTAGAGCAAGCTAAGAATTCATCGACCCCAGACGATTTGAAACTCTTCAACAATTTAATTAATCTTAACTACGATATGTTAGGTTCGCCAAACTATATATTCGGTATTTACAATGGCAGTTCAGCTAAAGCAGGTACATCACCAAAAGCAATTAATGGCAGTATTCGAGTCTCCGAAGCGTTTCGTAACTGGTTCAATAGTCAAAATCTTCCATGGGATTACACTGATTTTAGTGGCCGAAGTGACTATGGACCTTTTCTTGCTGCCGGTATTGCTGCTGGAGGCCTTTTTTTAAGGCGGTGACGGAACCAAAACCGAAACACAGCGTGATATTTATGAAGCAAAATTGGGTCAGGGTTACGGTGGTTTGCCAGGCGCCACTTACGATCCATGTTATCATAAGACATGCGATACGCTAAAGAACATTGATCAATTCGGTTACTTAAAAATGGTGCAAGCGGCTGCCTATATGCTCGAATTCTTAGGTAATAAAACTGATCTGATAACTTGGTTATATCCCGACGGACGACCAACTCAAATCCAATTACCGGAAGATTATTTTCCGAACAGCGACTATTATGTGTAAACTCTACTATAACGTTTGACCACACTCGACTTCAATAAACAAGAAGATTTACATACATCTGATAAATAATTTATAGAAAAATAGACTCTTAACCAATCTGCTATTTTGAGAAACCATTCACTAGTGTGCAAAAGTGTCTTTATTATATCCTTCAGTTAGCTTTTCTTAGAAAATATTCGATTTCATATCAAAATAAACAAGAAACATCATTATAGATTGCTGATAAAATTCTCATCTTTGTATTTAAGATAGTCAGAAGAAAATTATGAAAGTAAATATAAAAGTCAGCATCGATATGTTGTCAAAACGGACAAAGTTAGCCGCACTTGGTGGTGATGTTTGCGTAGATGATGGTGTGCTGGTAGTCGCAGATGATGGTGTGCTGGTGGTCGTAGAGGTTAAAGGTGGGACTAAAACATTGAATGGTAAAATATAATTACGATTTAACAGTCGCGCGATATTTTCAGCCATAGAAACTGTTGTGCATCCATCCTTATTGCAATTGTACAGCATAAGTTCACCAGTCTTAACTTGGTCATAAGCTTGGGCCCATTCAAAGATGGGTTGATTCGTGGCATTTACACAATATTCATCGTAGACGGGTTTTTGAGCATCAGACCAAACCTGATAAACCGCTCCACAGAATCCCTTGCCAGAACATGCTGGTCCGGCAGAACAAGTATCATTTGAATCGAGTGTTGCAGGATTGATGAGCATATCAACTAGATTTTGTCTTATGTTTTTTGCTTGGGTTAGAAATTGATTCCAATCGCTTTTAAGAAGATCGCTCGTGAAGTTAAAGTCACATCTATCCGCATCGGTACAATCGAATTCAACAGTTAGATTAGTAGCTTCGCTAGCAAGAGAAAATACCGTTACTGCATCGAAATTAGGAACTGTGGCCGGTGTTTTGGCGCTCATAATGCCATTGACTGCACCCAAATAGTAATCTACTGTCAGTACAACCTGACAACTTTGTTGACTGACCGGAAGATCAACATAGGTGCATGTCGGTGGTGTTGGATTTTTCAGATCGGCAGTAAATCTGCAGTCCTTAGCACATAAGAGACCATCGACGCTTGGAGTTGATGTTAAAGACAGCAAGACAAAGAAAAGAACGGTGTAAAACATGGTCGAGAAGTACGAACAAATGATCTTCCATTCGTTTTTTTCTCCATTGTTTTATACTTCATTGTCTTATCGCGTAGAAGTCATTTTTCGTAAATAGATATATACACAAATAACAGACTTAAACGAAAAGTTTGTTTGTGAGTAGGTGTAACATCATCTCTATATCTTCGTGCAGATATCGTTACATACGAGTAAATTATATTTTGCCTCTCAGTCTTATCTATTTCATTTGGTTCACTTGAGTATACATTCTTTTTCTTCTTCTTCTAGTCCTGTATACAAGTCACACGTTATACAGTCATGACAAGTCGTTTCAGCCAAGGAACAGTAGAGATACTCGAGTTTGTATATCAGTTTCACTCAATGAACTTCGAAAGATTTATACTTTTAGTAAAAATGACAAGTCTCCTTCAAGTTCATGCACATTACCAAGAGTTCTAGCTGTGTTTCTGGGTGTTTTCATAATTACTACAGTCGTCTTTGCCACGTTCTACGGTATCGAGAAAAATAAACGGATTGAAGACGTAATAGCATCATCCACGGCTACCACAACACCGGATGGTATAGTTTATGGGTTTTTTATCTGACGAAATGCGCTAAATTCTGAAATTATTAGCTAAGCAAGATTTATGTCTGACTCCATACTGTATCAAAGCAGGTAAAGTATAAAATTTCGATGAAACTTAAGCTACCTTTGATGTCACAGCTGATTATTTAATCGAAAGTATTGACGAGTCTATAAATCCTTGTGAGGATTTCTTCCACTTCGTTTGCGGAACATGGATTAGAAACACACGAATACCGGATGATGGTAAATACGAACTATTCTGATTGTTTGAGTATTAGGATGACTTCTTCGATTTAGCTGGTGCTCAGAACACGTTCAATTTATTACGGCATGAACTGGATTACAATGTTGTCGGTACGTTGACCGTAATACGAAAACATCAAAGTTTTACGAACGATATGCTTTTGCACAGATTTACTAGCAACACCTCCATCGAATGGAACTGTAGAACCGGAAGCAGTTGTCAATGCCCGACGTTTGTATAAATCTTGCACGAATGAAACTGGCATTGAAGCTGATGGTGTTGATGCTATTGTCTCCTTAATTAATTCTGAATTTGGCGGCTGGCCCATTCTTCTCGGTTCAACATGGGACGGAAATACATTTAATTTAACACAACTTTTGATTCTTCTTCGAAAGTATAACAATAATCCGATCTTTCGCGTGGGAACATCCACGGACGAGAAAAACTCCTCGACATACGATATTGAAGTAGGTTTTTAGAAAAGATGGAAGTAAGGAATTGAAAATATGTGTTGTAGATCGGACAAGGTGATCTTGGCCTTGGCCAGAATCAATATTACATGTCTGAAACACGGGTAACCAACGCCTATCGACAGCTGATGACAGATCTAGCGAAAACCTTAACAAACGATACATCGGCGATTGACCAAGACGTCATCGACATATTCGAATTTGAAAAAACGATTGCAATGGTGAATATCTACAAAAATGGACTCAAATAAGCATTTCTTTCTATCGTTTTAGTACCATTGGACAACATCCGAACAACACGCACGTGATAATGAAACAGTTCGAACAACAGTCAACCGCTTGACATCTTTATTGAATACAGCTGTAAGCGATGATGAAGTTTGTCTTTGCAAGTCTTTTCTTTCGCGAATCTCTAGTTTGACTTCGACGATTACGTTCGCCGTGCTTATATGCTCGGCGACATCACACTGGATGGTACGGAAATCGTTTCGGTTAGTGAAATCGACTATCTTTTGAATGTAACGTCGATTCTTGAACGAACGCCGGCACGCACGTTACAGAACTATATTGTCTGGAGATTTATGATGAATCGTGCTGCGAACATGCCTCAAAATATTCGAGTTCTCAAAGAACGATTTGATCGAATCTTTCGAGGTACGTCAGCAGAACCAGCACGTGCGATTACCTGCGGTAATTATGTCAATGGCAATATGGGGTTTGCTGTTTCGAAATTGTACATTAAAAAGTATTTTGATGAACACGCACGCAGTGAAGTATGTTGTCAGATTCTATAGAATTCTTTTCGGTCACTTTCGGAATTGTTCAAGTCATTAGAAATGATCAATAACATTCGAACTGCGTTTATCGGTATGGTCAATCAATCGACTTGGATGGATAGAGAGTCACAGAACAAAGCTATTGAAAAAGTAAACAGTTCGTTGATAGGAAACTTGTGGCGAAAAATCTCGTCTATAGGCCTTGGCAATCGATCAAAAGATCGGCTATCCGGATTATTTAGCAAGCGACAATAATACAAAACTAGAAGAAGATTATGCTGAAGTAGAAACTTTTGGAAGAACTTCGGTATGATATTTCTTCGTTGAATTTAGTACACATTTAGTACGTCGTTTATTAATAATATTCTCAAATTATTACAAATCAAAGCAAAAGAAAATTTTCGTCTTCTTCGTGAACCGGTTGATCAGAGAGCATGGGGTGATGAACCGCCTAGTGTAGTGAACGCCTTCTACGATCCGTCGAGAAATCAAATCAGTATGTACACGATAATTTTGCCAATAAATGAGCAAGACTATTCTAAATACATCTTTTACAGCTTTCCCTGCTGGAATCTTACAGAAGCCGTTTTTCGACAAAGATGCACCGAAGTATATTGATCATTTCTCTAGAGTTTGAACATTTCTTACATCTGTCTATTTATTTTAGATATTTAAATTATGGCGGTGAGTATCACTTGACATGTACTGCCAAAGATCAGCTGCTCTTTAGGGATCGGAGTGGTTATTGGACATGAGATTACACATGGTTTCGATGATACAGGTCGACAGTTTGACAAAGATGGAAATCGCGTTCCCTGGTGGACAGATGAAACAATTCAGAAGTTCGTTGAACGGAAAACATGTATTGTCAATCAGTACAGTAACTATACGATCGAACAAATCAATCAGAAAGTTTGTGTACTACGATCAGCTAATGATTTGCATTTGTTTTTTATTTGATATAGTCAAAAGGAGAACAAACACAAGGCGAAGATATTGCTGATAATGGTGGTTTACGAGAAGCTTATTTTGTATACGATAGTGTTCGTGAAAAATACGCTAATCTCTTTCCTCTTGTAGGCCTATGAAAAATGGGCAGAAAAGAACGTGAATAGTGATAAGCGATTACCTGGTTTACAAAAGTATTCACCGGAACAAATGTTCTTTATCAATTATGCTCACACGTGGTGTACGAAAATGACCGACGAATACGCTCTGAATCGGCTTTTGACTGATGTTCACTCTCTGGGACCATTAAGGTTTATTTCAGTTATGCACTACTAATCTAAAAATAAATTTCTTTTGACTTTGCTTTAGAGCTGTCGGCCCAACGTCGAATTTCGATCAATTTGATCGTGCATTCGGATGTACGCCTGGTCAAAGCAATAGTCGAGTGAACAAATGTATCGTTTGGTAATCAACCGCAGAAAATAAACTGCAATACTATCTCTTTCTGCTCGAAATTTTATACCATAAAATTCTATCGAAAATGTTTCGATAATAAAACTAATCCTGTTATAAAATCCGAACCTATCCTAATCGATTCACTTGTCTCTATTTATACTGCGAACGTATTGGTAAACTAGGTTTAGCATGTAATCTATTATTCGTCGTTTTTTACAGTTATGTAAACGTACATATATAAATCTCCAATGATTCTAGTAAATCATGGATCTACAGGTGAGACTTCACACGTGTGTCTTCTTTTTTTGCATATTGATTTGTACGAGCTTTCGCGTGAATCACGAAAAGCGTCAGGACTAGTTTCACAGTGCTATCAATCATGGGAATAAGTGCGCAGCAAGCGAACAGATACACCCACTCGTCCTTCACATCTACGCAAGGAATACTGATCTCACCTCGACCGTCAAGACAGAAATAACATATTGTCCTGTGTTTTTACATTGACTAGATTTCATCTACCTTCGACGAAAACATTGCTTTCGTGTGAACTTGCGCAATCTAAAATATTTCTTAAATGGAAAAATCCACACCGCTTCCTATGTTCAGCAGAGCGACGTTCTGTGACTTTTTGTTTCTTCCGATATTTATCATGTAGTTTTTAAATCAACTTTCCCAGAATTCGTCTCAACTGTCGCCAAAATAAATTTTTTCTGAAGATGTTTATTTAAACGTCCGAACAAGAAAAATTGTATATAAGAGAAAATCAGCAAACTGTTAGTAAATATCAAGGAACATGAGTGTGAAAAGTGCAAATGTGAAGTATATTGTTTTCGACATCTTTATCTACGCGCTAAGCTCAAGTTAGGATATTATACATTGTCCTACAACATACGTTTAATCTATTCCGTGACGTTGGAGGCGATTTGAATGCGCTAAAAGGTAAACTAAAATGCATTATCAAACAATTTTTTTTTGTGGTAATCAAGCGAGTGAGACGCAAACAAACTTTTTACCACATACATGAATATTTCCGGACAAAGTCATTCAACGTGATTTTATTGAAAAGTGGACGAGTACCCAAATAATAAGAACCTCGATGAGAGGAAAATGCTGAAAAAGGGTATAAAACAAATAGAAAACTATTCATTTCATCGTAGTTTATTTTTCTCCTATTTTGTTGAACAAATTGAAAACAAGAAATTGTTTTCATTGTATTTACAATGATACTTATCCATTGGCGTCGATTATGGATAATAATGATGATAATCAGGAAGCAAACGGCAAGTACGGAATGATTACAATAGCTTATCCTAATAAGATGAGGAAGGGCACTGCTAACTATAATTACTCTGCATTTATCTCTTTTGTATCTTCATGGGCGCCATATCAAGTCTTCAGCACTGGGATTGCATTATGTAAAATAAAAAATGGTGTCTGTTTTGAAAGATGTATTTTCATTAATAACTCGGATGTTATGCTCACGAATAAGTCGACCAGGGGACCTTCAATGCGTATAGCATCATATGCATCTGAAAAGATCAGTTTAGTATGTTAGGCTTACCAATTGAATTTGCTCATTCAGTTGTTGAGAACAGCAGATACAGAGGATAGGATTTCTTTTTAGTTATTGAGTGGTATATTAACATTAGAACTTTTACCTTTTCACTTAGCACTCTCTTACAATCGACCGGTGCTTCAGCCCTATACAATGTGGAATCCGTCTGCCATCACTTTTGCGAATGTGAATTCAGTTGGATCCAGCCCATTTGATATTTTCGTCAATACAAACAACACACTCTATGTGGCCAGTCAAGCAAACAACCGCGTTCTTGTGTGGCCTCAATGGAGTACTTGGCCGATACAGTATCTCTCGCGTAATTTGTCGTCCCCATACAGCCTTTTTGTCACAACTGCTGGCGAGATTTATATTGACAGCGCCAGTTCTACTGGTCGGATCGATAGATGGGCACCGAAGGCATCAAGTGGTGTTCCGGTACTGTACCTGTGTTCGAAGTGCAATGATCTTTTTGTTGATACACAGGACATTCTTTACTGTTCGATGCAAAATCGTCATCAGATAGTATCCAAGGCGTTAAAAACAAACTCGAATGCATTCGCAATCGTTGCTGGTACAGGTTCAGCCGGATACGCAGCAAATATGCTGAATCATCCTTGGGGGATATTTGTGGATACCAATTCTGATCTATATGTAGCAGATCAATACAATAATCGTATCAAGCTTTTCCGATCAGGACAACTTAACGGTATTACAGTTGCTGGGAGTACATCGATCAATCTTACTATTTCACTTTGGTGTCCTACTGGAGTTGCCCTTGACTTCGATGGTTACCTCTTTATCGTCGATACGTGCAACCATCGTATCGTTGGATCAGATTCAAGTGGCTTTCGCTGTGTTGTTGGATGTACCAATACGGCAGGCTCAAACACAAATCAGTTGTACTATCCGAAATCAATGAGTTTTGACAGTTATGGAAACATCTTCGTCACTGATACTAGTAATAGTCGTATTCAGAAATTTATTCGACTGAATAATAGTCGCGGTGAGTAATTTGAAATTCAGTTACAACTTACTATTTTACCTCTTGCTCGATAACTTTCGTCAGTGAATGCTAATTACCTGCTATGTTGCGAAAAGCAACGTTTTTATTTACTTCGCATAATCATCTTCGAATTCACCTAAGACTGCTCACTTACTTTCATTTTAGTTCCATCATATAATCAACCGAAATTTTGTTCGGACGCTTCGTGGAATCCAAATGCCACTACCTTTGCCAATGCAACTAACGGTGCCATCGGACCATCACCTTACGGTATCTTCATCACTATCAACAATACCATCTATGTTGCTGATCAATCGAAGTATCGTATACAAACTTGGTCAAATGGAAGTGCCACTCCATCACAATCCATCTACAGTAGTTTGATGAATTCATATTCACTTTTTGTCACAACCAATGGTGATATTTTCGTTGATAATGGATACTACAATCGTCGGGTAGATAAACGAACAACGATGACAAATACAAGTGTACCTGTCATGTATATTAATTCATCATGTTATGGTTTATTCGTTGATCTGACTGATGTTGTGTATTGTTCAATCTATAGTTACCATCAGGTGGTGAAAAGATGGGTGAATGACATTTCTACTACTGTGACGGTTGTTGCTGGTACAGGTTATGCCGCTAGCAGTTCAAATTACCTGAATCGCCCAATGGGAATATTTGTGGATACTAACTTTGATCTATATGTAGCAGATCAATACAACCACCGTATTCAGCTCTTTCGATCAGGACAACTTACCGGCATTACAGTTGCTGGGAGTGCATCGCCTAATCGTACTATCTCACTCGTGTATCCCAGTGGAGTTGTTCTCGATGCTGATGGTTACCTTTTTATCGTAGATAGCTACAATCATCGTATTGTAGGATCGAGTCGAAATGGTTTCCGTTGTATAGTTGGATGTAGTGGTATAGGCAACGCATCAGATCGGTTACGATATCCGACATCGATGAGTTTTGATATCTACGGGAACATATTTGTTACTGACACGAATAATAATCGCGTTCAAAAATTTGGTATATTAACGAATTGCAGTGAGTACTACAGTATCCTTTTGCCGTCACTATCCTGTGTTCGCATTAATGTAGTTCAGTATAGTGGTGATTTTGCACTTGTAGAAGCCTATTATTTGCTGCAAGTTTACTTTGGCGAATCTACTATCATATAGTATCTTCCATATCGATTTTCAAGGTTCTACTCTAATTATAAAAATCATAGTGGATTTGACCGAGGCGCCGATATAGATCTTTTCTTTCCTTTAAGTATACCTCTCATCAAGATTTATATAATTTTGTGACACTAAGCTGGTTTTGTTTTTGGCTTGTATCTGAATTAAACAAGACCTGTCGTCTCCCTTGTAAAAATAACTGTAATGCACCGTACATTGAACGGAATAATACTTATTGTTTTGACATGTGTGACATGCTAATTTGATTGTTTTTAGGTCAAACATCATCATCAAATCAAACTACAACAACGACTCCAATTACTTTGATAACTGTGAAAGGTTTGTTCAAAAGCAATCTTATATAGGAACAGCACTGTAAAAGATAGTACTAAAGTGAAATGTTTTGGAGAATACAGTGCTGTACTTTAGACAGCCATTCAGTCTGAATATCAGAGTCTTCCCGGATATAGATTACCCTAATTATGTATGAATAATTCTAGCGTGTCTACCACCTACAATAACACTAATTCCAAGTACCACTGCAGTGTCATCACCGATTCAATTTCGTCGAAATCAAGATTTTACAATAGTTTCACGGATTGAATTAAATTGTAACAGAACATCATTCATGAATACGCAATGGATAATCAAAAATTGTACTTCAACGTGTTTGAACAAAATTTCACTAGATCCAACAATACAAACAACATTCAGTGAACTTTTTATTCCAGCACGAACCTTGCCATATGGTCTATATGAGATGACGCTAATTGCTGCGATGGTTAATGTCACAAACACTTCTGCATCAGCTGTCGTCTATGTTCAGGTCACTTCATCAGGCATAACAGCTAATTTACTTCAATTTGGCACATCCATGGTCACACGTGGCAATCATCAAGAGCTGCAACTAGATCCTGGAAGTTACTCTGTTGATCTTGATCAAAATACATTCAATGCTTCTGTAAGTTTCTGTTGACGGCACAGTTGTATCACTCGTCTGGTTTATTTGTCATGTAGAACTGGAAATATAAATACTATTGTCGAATCTATGGCTCATCGATGTTTCCCAACCTACGAGGTTCATTGTTGACAATCAACGACCCAAGGAATGATCCTTCGAATCCATCTTGTTTGTCCAATCGAACTGCGTGGAGAATCGATAATGCATTTGACTCGTCGTTCACCATTCTTGCCGATGCATTGCAATTCAATCGAACATATCAGTTTATGGTTCAAATGGAGAACCGTGAGGCCTCTTCGCGTCAAGCGAGTGGCTATGTTCTTGTGAAAGTGGAAGATACTCGTCCACACATGGTCTTTATAGGGTCTGTTCTTGTTTTGATGTGTGTGTGCACGCATTGCATATTGTGTTATTGTTTGTAGTTGTGTGATATGGACGATGTGTCAGCCGAATCTGGAATTCCAGCTAGTTAATCCCACAACACAAGTGGCGTTGTTTTCGACTTGTCCAGGAGACTGCAACAGAATCGAAAGGATCGTATGGAAGATTTATCAAGGCGTAGAGGATTTGGCTACCGATTCTACTAGATGGACAGTGTTCAATGAAACAAGTGTCTATGAGAATATCTGGTTTTTCGGTAAATGAATCATGTACCTTCTCGAAAAGGAAAAACTTCATCATAATTTATAGGCATCCATACAAGTAATTTCACCGCAACGAATCAACTCTTTCTGTCCAACCCAGAAATTCAGCTTTGGCGCTTTGAAGTTGTCTATACCTTCACAAATGAAACAAGTGTCAGTTCATTGAATTTTGTCATCAATCAACCGCCATCTAACGGCTCATGTTTAATTGATCCACTGAATGGAACAACCACTACTTTGTTCACGATTTCATGCAAGGATTTCTTTGATGCAGATGGAATCAAAGACTACACTGTCTACGGTATATTAAAGTTGCTTTTCTGAGACGTAAATGAAATAATCTTCTCTATTATAAGGCACGACCGATGATCAAAGCAAGATGACGATTGTTGCTTATTCGAATTTACCAACACTTCAAGTATACTTACCAGCTGATGATAATCAAATATCATCACTTCGCTTAGTCATTCATGTTCAAGATAAAATGAATTGTATCACTGAAACGAATCTCTCATCAGTGACTGTTTTGCCTGATACCCTTGCGATAAATGATTTGATAAATAACATTTGGAACCCATCAGCCAATGATACCCCTAATGCCATCGTAAATTTACTTGGAAGTGGAAATCAAAATATCGTTGGACAGGTGATCAGTTCGGTATCACAACAGTTCAATAGAATGAACAATGAAAATATTGAAGCGGCTGCTGCTAGTAACTATTCATATCGAATCATTGAAATCAGTTAACACTAATTTTCTCTAGATGGTATTCCGATTGCGAGTATTTCAGTGTCGTCACTATTAAATGAAAGTCGACAACAAGTAATCACATTTTCCTTTGAATTTCATGCTCTAATTTTGCAACATTATAGTCATCAACGTTATTGAATCAGTCGGCATTGGAAGAATTCAACAGCCAACTGAACTCTCGTGCTGTAACTCGAGACTATTTTATTCCATTCATTACAAATATTCCCATCACAACGTCAAATAGCATCAAACTACAAGCATCAACATTGGCTCACTTCACAAAAACAACAAATGAATTGACAAGAACAACTTTGGTATGATCTACACTTCTTTCTCTCTCTCTCTCTTTTACATTCATTTGTCTCCTTGTATAGGCAAGTGTATCGAGTCGATGTTATGAGTTAGCATTGGCTTTGAATTCGATGCGAACGAAAGTTGCATACGAAGATGTTCGACTTGCATCAGCTGACCTTCTTCAATGTGCTGCTAATCTCGTCAACGTATGATATAGACTGTAAAACTAATAAACAACTATCCTCACTATGTATAGGCTGTCAACGGACCACTACAAGAACGAACGAATTTTCTCGATACAGATGCAGTTGGAGCAACGAAATTTCCCGATAATTATGATACTAATCTGGAGACAGCGTGGTCAAATCCTAGTAAGATCGGAAGTTATTCGACATCGTCGATGCAGTCATGTGTAATTTAGGTCTGTTTGCTGATGGTGATGACTTCTCCTTAGAGACAATAAAACGAAATCAAGTCATTTATTATCAAAAACAACTGGCGAATGAGATCAAATCTAAGATGGCTGAAGTGATCTCACTGTTAACGTCAACACTGAATATTCATCTCAACGTTGGCCAAGATTTCGCCATCGAAACATCACAAGTGATCATGACACTCGAGACCAAATCAACTCAATCACTTTCGAGTTCATTCACAAAAACAATTGGAAATGGACAAGTGACACTTCCCAATAATTTCACTTCATCGCTCGCTATAAATGACAAAATCTTTATTCGAGTGAGTTCATCACTATGATTATTTCTCATTCTTCTCTATTGAACCACTGTTTCAGTCCATGATGGAGCCATTGGCATCGTTTGGAAATTCAAAGTCAACATCAAACACAAATCTCTCCAGATCAATAACGTTCTCAGTTCTCGATCAAAATCAGAATGAGATTCCAATCCAAACAGCAAAGAATCAATCGATTGAGATCATCATTCCTCGTGATCCCAATCTTATCATACCATCGATGATCTTGCAAAATGTTACATCACTCAATTTCACATCCACTGATGTCATGTTTCATTGGCATCATTTAAATTTGTCTTCGTCACTTTCAGTGTCAGTTCATTGGGAAATTCAACCGTTGGATACCAGTTTAGCCTATTTGTTCATCTACAGATTCGATCAAATACCAAAACTGAGTTCATCTGTCAAACAGATCGATGGATGGACACTTTTCTGTCCCGAGAATTTTACGAATAGTAGTGTCTATACATACTATGTCGATAATCAACAAACAACGGGTCGTCACTCAATCATCTTTGGTCTGAGAGAACTCAATGAAACTGAAATCATTCAGCACTGTTCAAACACATCGCTCACTGATGATCCTCCAATTACTGATCATCCGGCCAACTACACCTCAGACTATGGACTAAGAATCTACACATCAGGTTGTTATTATCTCGATGCAAATCAACAATGGCAATCAGATGGACTCATCGTTGGCCCGCTGACCAATCACGATCAAACACAGTGTTATTCTACTCATTTGACAACATTCTCTGGTGGATATGCTGTTCTACCTGAAACAGTCAACTGGAGTTATGTGTTTGCTAATGCTGATTTCATGAAAAACAAAACCATCTATTTGACAGTGATTCTTGTTTGTGCGATCTATGTACTTCTGGCTGTTTATGCGCGGTACTACGACAAGAAAGACGTGGAGAAACTAGGCGTGACTATCTTGCCCGATAATAACAAGAACGACGACTATTTCTATCAGATGATTGTGTTCACTGGTCAACGACGGGATGCTGGAACGAAATCGAATGTGCATTTNGCTGGTACAGGTTCTGCCGATAACAGCTCAAATTACCTCAATCATCCGATGGGAATATTCGTGGATATTAACTTTGATCTATATGTAGCAGATCAATACAACCACCGTATTCAGCTCTTTCGATCAGGACAACTTACCGGCATTACAGTTGCAGGGAGTGCATCGCCTAATCGTACTATCTCACTCGTGTATCCCAGTGGAGTTGTTCTCGATGCTGATGGTTACCTTTTTATCGTAGATAGCTACAATCATCGTATTGTAGGATCGAGTCGAAATGGTTTCCGTTGTATAGTTGGATGTAGTGGTATAGGCAACGCATCAGATCGGTTGCGATATCCGACATCAATGAGTTTTGATATTTATGGGAACATATTTGTCACCGATACTAGTAACAACCGTATTCAGATATTTAATTTCTTCACGGAATCATGTGGTAAGTACACCAGGATGAAAATTTCAGAAGCAATCAAGGATTAGTAATGATGTTTACTGAGGGTGGGGTGTGGGTGGGTGAGGGTGGGTGAAAATGTTTTTATGATTTGAATCGATAGAGCTAGTCGCGCTGTATGTAAAACAAGTGCTGGAATTGAAGAAACGAGTCGGTGCGTACTTTTCTGAGATTTGCATGTTTTTTAAGGGTTTTTTCAATTATTATGTATAAGGAAGAATATTTCCCGGGATATAATTTTTTGGAGTGGATAGAGTTTACTGACTTCCATCTGGGAAAAATGTGATCAAAGTTGGAATACATTCGTGTGCGAATCCGTGTCTAAGTTATCCTAAATCCGATATCAATGAAAAACGCCAAAATTACAACGCACGGAAAAACTTTTGACGCGAAAAGTATAGAAAAAATTGATGTTTAACTAGCTTATAAGTTTTTCAACTGCTTCCAAGAAAGCCAGAGTATTACCTCGTGAAAATCCACAGAAAGAACAGAGCTCTTAATGCGTGATGTATTTGGACACTCTAGAGTTGGTGCTATATAATAACACAAGAAGGTTTCGACATCTCACGCTTTTGTTAAAAGAGCGTTGTTAAGTTCATTGGCAATTCTTTTTGTACCCTACTGTATATCGACTTTCGAGAAGTTGCGCAACTGCATCACATGTTATCACACAGGATAGAATTTACTAGAGAAATGTTTAGCGCCATATACAAGTTAGTTGTTGTTCTGAAAGTTTTTTGTTTTTTTAGACACCGAAAGCACCGCAAGTCAATATAGTGGTAAAGATACATTTTTCTTTCACCCATTAAAAATAATATCAGTTTTAGGGAGTACATTCTCAGCTACGGTTCAGTCCAGTATAACAACGAAAGTGACTGCTCAATCGACTGTCGTAACGTCGTCTCCAGTGCAAACAGGTAACCATTCGACGAGAAGCCTTTATCTGTCAAGTCATTTGATCATATTTCCTTCTTTAACCCTATCTTTACCCTCAAGAAATTGTACGACAATCTTATACATATAGTTTTTCTTCACAAGTTAATTTTTTTTAATCTTCCTCTCATTTATATAGTTGTCTCATACAATCGACCGAAGCTTGATACGCATACAATGTGGAGTGCTAACGCAATCACTTTTGCTAATAACATTACTGTCGGATCATCACCTTACGGTATCTTCATCACTATCAACAACACCATCTATGTTGCTGATCGGTCGAAGTATCGTGTACAAATTTGGTCTAATGGAAGTGCCACTCCATCACAATCCATCTACGGTAGTTTGATGAATTCATATTCACTTTTTGTCACAACCAATGGTGATATTTTCGTTGATAATGGATTGTATAATGGTCGAGTAGATAAACGAACAACGATGACAAATACAAGTGTACCTGTCATGTATATTAGTTCATTATGTTATGGTTTATTCGTTGATCTGACTGATGTTGTGTATTGTTCAATATATAGTTACCATCAAGTCATTGCAAAATCATTACAGAGTAATTCAAATATTACCACAATAATAGCGGGCACCGGTTGCTATGGATCTACTTCATATCAACTCTATTATCCTATGGGAATATTTGTAGATATCAATTTTGATTTATACGTAGCTGACTATAGCAACAATCGTATACAACTTTTCCGACCAGGACAACTTAACGGTATTACAGTTGCTGGGAGCACATCAATCAATCTTACTATTTCACTTTTTTACCCGTCTGGAGTTGCTCTTGACTTCGATGGTTACCTGTTTATCGTCGATAGATACAATCATCGTATCGTTGGATCAGATTCAAGTGGTTTTCGCTGCGTTGTTGGATGTACCAATACAGTGGGCTCAAACACAAATCAGCTGTACTATCCGACATCGATGAGTTTTGACAGTTATGGGAACATCTTCGTCACTGATACTAGTAACAGTCGTATTCAGAAATTTATTCGACTGAATAATAGTCGCGGTGAGTAATTTGAAATTCAGTTACAACTTACTATTTTACCTCTTGTTCGATAACTTTCGTCAGTGAATGCTAATTACCTGCTATGCTGCGAAAAGCAGCGTTTTTATTTACTTCACATAATCTTCTTCGAATTCACCTGTGACTACTCACTTACTTTCATTTTAGTTCCATCATATAATCAACCGAAATTTTGTTCGGATGCTTCGTGGAATCCAAATGCCACTACCTTTGCCAATGCAACTAACGGTACCATCGGACCATCACCTTACGGTATCTTCATCACCATCAACAACACTATCTATGTTGCTGATCAATCGAAGTATCGTGTACAAATTTGGTCTAATGGAAGTACCACTCCATCAAAATCCATCTACGGTACCAACATGAATTCATATTCACTTTTTGTCACAACCAATGGTAATGTTTTCGTTGATAACGGACTCTACAATCGTCGGGTAGACAAACGAACAACGATGACAAATACAAGTGTACCTGTCATGTATATTAGTTCATCATGTTATGGTTTATTCGTTGATCTGACTGATGTTGTGTATTGTTCAATCTATAGTTACCATCAGGTGGTGAA